GCCTCCTGAGTGGCAGGTGTGAGCCACTGACGCCTGGCTAAGGCAAGCCCTTTTGAACGTGTGAATCAAGGCTTGGGTGTTACTCCAGCAGGTTAGACTTTCTCCCCTGCCTATAAGGACCTGAGAGTGACAGGAATCATGATCCTTCATCCCTAAACTTGATTTGAACATATATCACCTAGGAATGAGGATCTTCAAACTTTTTTTTTCCTCCAGTTATTCCTTGCATTTACTTGGCATGTGTCCTCAGACTGCTTTAATCTAGAATAGCTCTTCAGCTCTTTTTTAACTCTCTTGTTTTTAAGGTGTATAGGCTCATTTTGTTGAAAGGATCTAAGTTATATGAAGTCATATAATCAGGTTCAATTTGTTCCATTTGTACATTTTTTTCCTCTGGGGGTATGGGGGGAAAGGTATAAGTAAGGAATGTATCTTTGTTAAGAGCACCACATCAGGAAGTGAAGGATGTGATATTAACTAGCATCCCAAGGTTCAGGTTGCACCTTCCTTTTTTTTTTGGGTCCAGTCGTGGGGCCTGAACTCTGGGCCTGGGTGCTGTCCCTCAGCTCTTCAGCTCAAGGCTAGCACTCTACCACTTGAGCCACAGGACCACTTCTGGCTTTTTTCTTTTTGCTTATGTGGTGCTGAGGAATCGAACCCAGGGCCTCATACATGCAAGGCAAGCACTATACCACTGAGCCACATTCCCAGCCCCCCTTGCTTTTTTTTCAGTAGAGGTATACATCCCTGAACTGTGCTGTTGAATAGTTTTGGCAAATGCACAGACCCAGAAAGCTATGTCCTGCTGTAGCAGAAGTTTTACAGTACACTTGTTTTGCCCTCTTCCCTCAATCCTGTTTCAAGAGATCATGAACTAGTGGTACCACATCTGAATTCTAGGTTCTTCCAAAAAACCATACATTTTACCCCAACAGTGGAACTATCCAGGATGGACTCATCATCATCCTGCACTGCCCCTTACTGTGCCCCAAGGAGAGAGTTGCCAGCTGGTATGCCAGCTTTGGCTGACACAGTAAATTAGGGCCTCTGCTCCCTCAAGGAGCAGCAAACAACAGGACATCCTCTCTGTGTCTCCATGCAAGAGAAGGTATTACTGCTGATCCACACACAGATATACTCAATCAGCCCTCTGCATATACCTAGCTCTGCCCAGAGCTCTCCCAGCTCCTCAACAGCTCAGCTCACACAGACTTGCTCTTCTCTCACTGGATGGAAGGAACATGACTGTTAAGGTGGACATCAGGCTTGTCGTCTCAGGAAGCAGACACTAGGTCCAAGGCCCTTGAGCCTTAGTGTAGTTACCCTTCTCCTGCTGTCCCTAGCTTCCCACTTCAGTACCTCCTTGAACTAGAGGAAGTCAAAGCTATGAATTTAAGGTCACAGGAGCATAATTTATCAAAAACAGGTCTTCTGCCAAGCCTTTTGTGTGAGTTAGCCACTTAATCTTTACAACAACCTCAAAAGTAAGAAGGGGATTATTCTCTGTAGATATAGAATAAAAAATAGATACAGAATTAGAGCCTCAATGGACTGTGAATCTGGGCTTGACTTATTCTAAAATCCTTGTCTTCTAACTAGAAAGGATTCTATAGCCTCAGGGTGGCAGAATGAGTCATCCATTTCACTCTCAATGTACACAGAGGTGCCCTCTCCCTGTGTTGTGAGGTGAAAGAGACTGAAACATTGTTGTAACCTTTGGGCAGAGACTTGTTCCTCCCTCAGAGGACCTGAAGTAGATCTGGACACCCAGACCCCTCACTAGTACATGGAAAATAGGATTGAGGCCAGGGATGGATGGGAGCTCTGGGTTTGCTTCCAGGTATTAGACGGGTAGGTAGAGGTGGAGAGTCTCTGCCTTCACTAGCTGATGCCAGAGGGAAAAACAAGAAAAATGAAGGGCTATATAACTCAATTATCTATCTATCTATCTATCTACCTACCTATCATGCTGGTATTATGGCTTGAACTGAACCCACGGCTTTGCACTCCCACTTGGTTTTCTTACACATGGCATTCTACCACATGAGCCATGCCTCCAGTCCAGCATTTTCCTTGTTATTTTGGAGACAGAGTCTTGTGTGCTTTTCTGCCCGGTCTAGCTTCAAACCATGGTCTCATACACTCAGCAAGTTGCTGGTTTTTTAACACTTTTTAAAAATTGTTATTATAAGGGTGATATACAGAAGAATTACCATTTCACAGGTCAGGTCATGAGCACATTTCCTTCTGGACAGTGCACTCCCCTTACAGATTTACTTTTTGGTATTGGTAAACATGGAAGCTGAGGTTGGAATGCTGGCAAGGACAAGCTGCATAGTGATGCTGCTGTCTCAGCTTGCCCCTGCAGAGTAGACACAGCCCTTTGACTCCTGGTGGTCATTGGCAACCACTGACAAAACACGGCTCCAGCTGCTGTCTACACACACGCACACACACAGGCTGACCCAGCAAGTACTTCACTGGGCCAGGACCACAGTTTCTTCCCCTCCTTGGGAGGTGGAGATGCAAAGAACTGTCCTTGTACTTTTTTTTTTTTTTTGGGGGGGGGTGGCTAGTCCCAGGGCTTGAACTCAGAGCCTAGGCACTGTCCCTGAGCTCCTTTTGCTCAAGGCCACCACTCTACCACTTGAGCCCAGCACCACTTCCAGCTTTTTCTGTTTATGTGGTACTAAGGAATCGAACCCAGAGCCACATTTCCACACTGTCCCTATACTTTTTGTAGTTACTCATCTCTCCAGAAACTTAAAGGTTGCTGCAAGAAGCAGGATGATTGAGTGTTCAAGGCCTGGGCTATACAGGGAGCCCTTGCCTCAAAGAAAAACAAAACCAAAAAAGGCTGAGCTTGAGTGCCAAGTCTCTGTCCATCTATAGGCCCTGCCATAGCCTCTTGTGCTGGCTCTGTGCATCCTGGGCTCAGGATCCTGTATTCTGGTTGTGAGTGGCAAGACCTCTCCATACCTTTCTAGGCCTTGTATTTGGGTAGGCAGACTGAGCTGTTCCTTAGCTCCATTTTGACTGTTTTTGCAGCCTACCTCTCTCTGGAGGTATGTCCACAAAGCTGAACCTTGCTGTGCCTTTAGTGTCCAACTATCTAGTCCAACTCTCCTATACTGTGTCTCAATGGGCTCCAGGCATCTTTAACCTTAGAACTCTGTGCCTCTCCTGGCTGAGGTGACCTTAAGCCCCAAATTGACATGGTAGGATCAGGCACCCCTGTCTAGACCTGCTAGGGTAGCTGTCCCAAAGCCTAGGCCATCTCATGTTGAGGCCCATGACTCTCCCCAGGCTAGGCAAAGCCCACAGAAGCCCCTTCTTTCAGGATTGCCAGCACAGCTGCAGCCTACACGTGCAGCCGTCGGGCTAGAATCTCTCTCACTGCCTCCCTCCTAGGCACCCCACCCCCAACTGTTGCCTCACTGAGCTTCCTGTTGAGATTCTAAGGGAACTGCTGACCTGTGAGGAGCGAGAACACAGAAGAGTTGATATTTTCAAAGCACTAAGCTGGGCCTGTTGAATTCCTGGGAAGGTGAGCATTTGGCTCAGGAAACACCAGGCAAAATAGCCGTACCTTAGCCAGGCTGGGCCAAGACCCTTTTCACCCAGCCTGAGGACCAATTATCTGTGGAGGAACCTGGGGCCAAGTCCTTCTGAAGCCAGAGGAATCACAGCTGCATCATCATAGGTCTCTGTGAAGCCAGGATCCTCCCCAGTGAGAGCATTGGTGGATACTTGCAGATGTGTCTCTGGAGGGATACATCAGGACAGCTGAGGTCAGGAATGGGAGGTCAGCCTTGGGGCTTCACTCTTACTCCTTATTGAGCCCTGCCACCACACCTGCCAGGCTGCCAGGCCTCTTCCCTGCTGCTTTCTTTGCTGTAGTCAACTCTGGGTAGCATGAACGGATGTTCAGAAAGGGAGGTAGGCTAGCTTGCTCTTCGCCGCCAGCATCCTTTCCTCTCCCTGCCCATCTGTTCCTATCCTTCTGTCTGCCTACATCTTGGAGAAGTTCCCACACCATGTGCTTGAATCGAATCCTGAGTGGGGTAGGTGGGGTCAGGCTGAGCCCACTCATTGTCTGAGCTGCAGCTGCTCCCTGCAAACTGTCGTCTAGACTGTGCGTAGGCCCATAGGCAGTGTCTACACAGATGTGATGTACCTCCCTGGTGCTCTCTAGGGAACCAGGAGACAAAGAGGAGGCCCAGGCCCCAGGGAAGATGGAAAGCAGGGTCAGAATGCCTCCACTGGGGCAGTATGCAGCTCAAGATAGGCACAGGGCTGTCAGCCCTGATAAAAACCATCACCAGGGGCTGGGAAGGTGGCTCAGTGGTAGAGCGCTTGCCTTGCATGCCTGAGGCCCTGGGTTCAATTCCTCAGCACCACATAAGCAAAAAGCCGAAGTGGCGCTGTGGCTCAAGTGGTAGAGCACTAGCCTTGAGCTGAAGAGCTGAGGGACAGCGCCCAGGCCCAGAGTTCAGGCCCCACGACCGGACCCAAAAAAAAAAATCTTTTAGTGAGAGAGTAAGAAAGAGCAAATCTCCCTTTGACCCTAAAGGTTCCTTAGAGAGTTCAGAACAGGATTTCTCAGGGTAATTAATGTTCTCACACTTCACAGCAAGATGCCTGAACCCCATGGGTAATGAATCCTTTCCTTTGGGAGCCTCGGGGCAGGGACACTGCAGGCCCTTTGGCTATGGATGATTAGAGAGAACACTCACTTTGGAAACAGCTGCTTCAGGGCTACAGCTGGCTGCCTTCTCTGTGGAGGCTTGGCTTTAGCATCTGCACAAAGCCCAGTTCCCTTCTCAGTGTTTTATTGGTCCTTAGCTGGCTGTTCTTTGTCAGTAGGAACTTTGGAGGCTCCTCAGAGTGGGAAAGAAGTGGTGGTAGCAGTGGAAAAACAACAGCAATTATGTGGTACATCCACATAGTGTTGGGGAGTCACTGACCTACTCATAGGGGATCTCTTCTGTCTTGTCTAGAGCTGAGGATGAAGCGGAGAGCATCAGACAGAGGAGCTGGGGAAACGTCGGCCAGGGCGAAGGCTCTAGGGAGTGGAATTTCTGGAAACAATGCAAAGAGAGCCGGACCATTTATCCTTGGTAAGCCTCTCACTGGCAGGAGAATGGGTTTGCTGGGGGTAGGGCTGGCAGGAGGGCTTCCATGATCTGACTTGCAGATAGCATTGTGGGGTACCCACCCACAGCTATGTAAAGTCCTGACCAACCCCAGATCTGGTCACACGCTTCACTGCTTCAAGTGGAATATACAGTAGAAAATCCTTATGTGAGTCTCAGCTGAGAACCAACTATCTCTTCCCTCAGAGATCCACATGTGAGGCCCAAGAATGGCCTTGTGCCCACAGGAAACACAGTTGCATTAGAACGCAAGATCCTTCATCTAAGTCTCTGTCTGACCATCCAATATAGCATGGTTAATTTCACAGGGCTTTTTGTGTTGCAACCTCTAAACTTCTTTTTTGGGGTGGGGGGCTGTCCTGGGCTTGAACTCTGAGCCTGGGTGCTGTCCCTCAGCTCTTCAGCTCAAGGCTAGTGCTTTACCACTTGGGCCACAGCGCCACTTCTGGCTTTTTCTGCTTATGTGGTACTGAGGAATCAAACCCAGGGCCTCATGCATGCGAGGCAAGCACTCTACCACTGAGCCAACTTACCAGTCCCAGCCAACTTCCCAGCTACCCCCCACACACACACCAACTTCTTATAAAATAGGCACAGAAATCCTGCAAAGTTGGGCTTTCTACAGGATTTCTCAGTGCTGTTAATGGCCAGGGTGTGGCTACACCCCAGATCTGCACCAAAGGCTGGGTGTGACTTTTGCTTTGGTACAGCATTTTTTTTTTTTTTTGCCGGTCGTGGACCTGAACTCTGGGCCTAGGCGCTGTCCCTCAGCTCTTCAGCTCAAGGCGAGCGCTCTACCGCTTGAGCCACAGCACCACTTCCGGCTTTTTCTGTTTATGTGGTGCTGAGAAATCGAACCCAGGGCCTCAGGCATGCAAGGCAAGCACTCTACCACTGAGCCATCTTCCCAGCCCTGGTACAGCATTTTATGTAGGATTTTTTTTTTTTTTTTCGGTCATGGGGCTTGAACTCTGGACCTGAACGCTGTCCCTCAGCTCTTCAAGCTCAAGGCTAGCACTCTACCACTTGAGCTACAGTACCACTTCTGGTTTTCTGGTGGTTTATTGGAGATAAGAGTTTCATGGACTTTCCTGCCGGGCTGGCTTTGAACCTCGATCCTCAGATCTCAGCCTTCTAAGTAGCTAAGATTACAAGCATGAGCCACTGGTGCTCAGCTTGTGTAGGATTATTTTAGCATCAGGCATTCAACAAATAGCTAATAATGGTGCCTACTATTCACCAGACCTGGGCTGTTGCCAGTGATGCAGCAAGTGATAAAAATGTTAAGTCTCTGTCCTCATGGAACTTAACATTCTTTTCTGTTGGAAAAAGAAAGACTAAATAAGAAAAGACAATCACTGAGCTAGACTTAGTGACTCACACCTGGATTTTCACCTATTTAGGAGATAGAGACAACTAGCCCAGGCAAAAAGTAAGACCCCATCTTAATTAAAAAAAAAAAGTTTGGCATAATGATTCACCCCTGTAATTACAGTTGTACCAGAGGTATTGTAGGAGGAGATAGTTGTAGGAGGATCCAGTCTAAACTAGCCTAAGTTTAAAAAAAAAAATACAAAACCTTATCTGAAAACTAACTAAACAAGTTGTAGAGCACCTGCTTAGCAAGTACAAAACCCTAAGGTCGGGCTCCATTTACCACCGAAAGGAAAAAGAGAGACAGCAGCAGAGGGAGGAAAGGGAAGGAACAGGGAAGATGAGCTTGGTGCTACTAAGTGACTGGAAGGAAATAAACCAGATGGTATGTGGGTGAAAAAGGCCTATAGATACTGCAGCCAAGAATGGCCCCTATGAGGAAGTGGCATTTGCACTGATACCAAGCTTGAGAAGGAGCAGCCATGTGAAAGGCAGGAGGAACAGCAAGTACCTATAAGGGGAGGGAAAGCAGGAGGAGCCTCCTATAGCATGGCAGGAAAGAGGATGGAGCAAGTAAGTTAGAAAGGGTGGGCAGGAAGAAATCATGCAAAGCCTGGGAGGCCAAAAGAAAGTTTGGGTTGTATGCTGAGAGCAGTGGAGAACTGCTAAGCTTTTTTCACAACAGCAGTGCTGTGATACCATCTCATCTGTACTCTGAAAGCATAGGCGTGTGCTATCACAGGACAGGGAGCACTGTGATGGTCCAAGAGCTGAGAGCAGGCAGTGCTATCAGACTCTCCAGTGGAGACTGGTAAAGCTGTAGTGTTCTGGATTGATCCCTAGGGATGCTGGAGTGGCTGAGTCAGAGGGACAATGTCACTCTGGGATCTCTATCTCACAGATGTGCTCCAGAAGTTCCAGCATTACCCAGAGTCAAAAGATACCTCCTTGGCCTGGGAATGTGGCTCAGTGTTAGAGTGCTTACCTAGCATGCATGAAGCCCTGTATTGAATTCCTCAGTATCACATAAACAGAAAAAGCCAGAAGTGGCACTGTGGCTCAAGTGAACAAAGGAAGCTCAGGTACAGTGCTCAGGCCCTGAGTTCAAGCTCCAGGACTGGCCAGAAAAAAGCAGGCAAACACACACCTTCTTATTTGCCAGGTGTTAGTTGCTCACACCTATAATCTTAGCTACTAAGGAAGCTGAGATTGCAGGTCAAAGTCAACTCAGGTAGGAAAAGTCCATGAGACTATCTCCAATTAATCACACACACACAAAAAGGGTAGAGCACTACCCTTGAGCAAAAAAGCTCAGGAATAATGTCCAGGCCCTGAGTTTAAGTTCACACACACACACACACACCCTCTCCTTTTGAGGGACACACACACACACACACATACACACACACACACACACACACACACACCCTCTTCTTTTGAGGGATGGACCAGCTAAGACCACACACACACACACACACACACACTCCTTTTGAGAAATGGACCGGCTAAGCTAAGACCACACACACACACACACACACACACACACACACACACACACACACACACACACCCACACCCTCTTCTTTTGAGGGATGGACCAGCTAAGACCACACACACATATACACACACACACACACACACACACACACACTCCTTTTGAGAAATGGACCGGCTAAGCTAAGACCACACACACACACACACACACTCACACACACACACACACACACACCCTCTTCTTTTGAGGGATGGACCAGCTAAGACCACACACACACACACACACACTCCTTTTGAGAAATGGACCGGCTAAGCTAAGACCACACACACACACACACACACACACACACACACACACACACACACACACACACACACACACACACACACACACACACACACTCCTTTTGAGAAATGGACCAGCTAAGCTAAGACCACACACACACACATACACACACAGTCCTTTTGAGAAATGGACCAGCTAAGCTAAGACCACACACACACACACACACACACACTCTCCTTTTGAGAAATGGACCAGCTAAGCTAAGACCACACTCTCTCTCTCTCTCTCTCTCTCTCTCTCTCTCTCTCTCTCTCTCTCTCTCTCGAAATGGACCAGCTAAGACCAGGTGCAGCGCAGTCAGATAGCTATACCATTTTGGGAGGTGAGGCTGTTTAAGTTCAAAGACTGACACACACACACGCACGCGCACACACACGCGCACACACACACACACACACACACCTTTTGAGAAATGGACCAGCTAAGACCAGGTGCAACGCAGTCAGATAGATGTGCCGTTTTGGGAGGTGAGGCTGTGAGAATATTCCACCAAGAAACTTGATGGGTGGGGCTGGGAAGGTGGCTCAGTGGTAGAGCACTTGCCTTGCATGCATGAGGCCCTGGGTTCGATTCCTCAGCATCACATAAGCAGAAAAAAAAAGCCAGAAGTGGTGCTATGGTTCAAGTGGTAGTGTGCTAGCCTTGAGCTGAAGAGCTGAGGGACGGCGTCCAGGCCCAGAGTTCAGGCCCCACGACCCGGCCAAAAAAAAAAAAAAAAGAAACTTGATGGGTGAAGTTCAGTGGGCATGAACTCTGTAGTACCCTCTTAAAGAGATGTAGTTGCCAGGTACCAGAGGCTCATGCTTATATTCCTAGCTACTTGGGAGGCTGATATCTGAGGATCACCGTTCAAAGCCAGCCTGCGCAGGAAAGTCCATGAGACTCTTTTTTTTTTTTTTGCCGGTCATGGGGCCTGAACTCTGGGCCTGGGTGCTGTCCCTCAGCTCTTCAGCTCAAGGCTAGCACTCTACCACTGGAGCCACAGCGCCACTTCCGGCTTTTTCTGTTTATGTGGTGCTGAGGAATCGAACCCAGGGCCTCATGCTTACAAGGCATGCACTCTACTGCTGAGCTACCTTCCCAGCCCCCATAAGACTCTTATCTCCAATTAACCACCAGAAAATCGGAAGTGATGCTATGGTTCAAGTGGTAGAGTGCTAGCCTTGATCTGAAGAGCTGGGGTACAGTGTCCAGGCTCAGAGTTCAAACCCTGCGGGATATAGTCATATATATATGTGGTAACATAGGGCTATGACAGCCAGAATTTCTGAAAAGTAAGCCAATGGCCCTCTGTGCTTTAGGTCCCCGTCTGGGCAATTCACCAGTGCCAAGCATTGTGCAGTGTTTGGCAAGGAAAGATGGCACAGATGACTTCTATCAGCTGAAGGTAAGCAAGTGATGGGGTGGGATCCTTGGGATCCAAGGCCTATCCTGGCAGCTGCTCCCTACCTCCTCTACCTTTACACATGCATCACTGACTGAGAGTAGCACTTTCTTCCTGAGGAGCTATCAAGTTTACAATCTCATATAGAACAATACTGCTTTTAATGAACAGCTTATTCTGTGCATAAATATAAATGCTATCACATTATGAAAAGCGTTTTATGTCACATGGTAGGAAGCAAACATACTTCCCTTGTTCCAGCTCTTCTGCCGTGTAGAAGGAGGTTTTCTCTGTTGCTTTTCTTTTTGTGCTTCCCTAAAGATCCTTACCCTTGAAGAGAGAGGTGAGCAAGGCATAGAGAGCCAAGAGGAGAGGCAGGGCAAGATGCTGCTGCACACTGAGTACTCTCTGCTCTCCCTGCTGCACACACAGGATGGCGTGGTCCACCACCACGGGCTCTTCCAGGTGAGTAGCCTGTCTGCCACTCCTTCCAACCCCAGCTGACACATCTTCGGGCCACATCCATTCTGAGCAGCTCTTGGCATAGAGTCCCTGGCATCCCTGCCCTGCTGGCTGAAGAACTTGGGCAAGATCAATTAGAGTTCAGGCTTAGCTGCTGCAGTGCCACTGTGATGATTATCTTGGCCTAGCAGGAACCCACACAGCTGACATCTTAACTATGGCCAGGCTTTCTTTGAAGTGCTTTTTGTTTTGTTTTGTTTTCAGAGAAAAAGAAGGAAAGCAGGAAGTCATTTAAAGAGTTTCATTGTCAGGAATTGACCAGGCTGGAGTGGAGGGGGAGGGCAATGAGGAAGACTTGGGCCACCTGTAGATCAATCACCACTGTTGTTTTTGGTCCTGAAGTCCTTTTGCCTGCCCAGGCATTTCAGTTTGTACATCAGATGTCCTTGAGCTGCTGTTGTTTGGCCTCAAGCAAGTCATTTCAGGTCATCAGTCTGAAATGTGTACAGTGGGAGAATGAGAGCAGGCCCTGCCTCTCAGGCAGTTTGCAAGACGAGTGAGCATGGAAAGCACCATGCAATGTAGTACACACTCATCACAGTTTCAAGCAATAAGAGCTTCTGTCAGCTGGATTTCCTGCCATGAAATAAATGGAAAATGCCTCCCACACCCACATTCACACCCTCTCAAGATCTTATTCTTAGTTTTCAATTAGAGGCCACTCCAAAAATTTTATGTTTCCCTTAAACGTGAAGGAAGTCAAATTGAATGCGGTTGTGATTTATTAGTATCTTCTCTTTGACATCTTTTTTTTTTTTTTTTAAAAATATGGAACGCTTCACGAATTTGCGTGTCATCCTTGCGCAGGGGCCATGCTAATCTTCTCTGTATCGTTCCAATTTTAGTATATGTGTTGCCGAAGCGAACATTTCTCTTTGACATCTTTAAGTGTTTGGCCTTGGTTTACATCCTTTTGAACAAGAGAGTCTAGGTGATCAAAAGTGTTTCCAGGGGCTGGGAAGGTGGCTCAGTGGTAGAGTGCTTGCCTTGCATGCATGAGGCCCTGGGTTCAATTCCTAAAGCACCATATAAGCGGAAGTGGCGCTGTGGCTCAAGTGGTACAGCGCTAACCTTGAGCTGAAAAGCTGAGGGACAGCACCCAGGCCCAGAGGTCAAGCCCCATGACTGACAAAAAGAAAAAAAAAAACTTTCTAGCTGGGCACTGGTGGCTCAACCAATAATCCCTACTCAGGATGCTGAGATCTGAAGAATGCAGGTCGAAGCCAGGCTAGACAGGAAAGCCTGTTAGGTTCTTATCTCCATTAACTACCCCCCAAAAAAGCCAGAAATGGAGCTGTGGTTCAAGTGGTAGAGCATTGGTCTTGAGCAAAAAAAGTTCAGGGACAGTTCCCAGACTCTGAGTTCAAGCCCCAGGACTGGGACTCCCTCCACACACCCCCCCCCCCATAGAAAAAAGAAAAAGAAAAACACACACATTTTAAAAAAAAAGGAGGGGGGACTGGGAAGGTGGCTCAGTGGTAGAGCGCTTGCCTTGCATGCCTGAAGCCCTGGGTTCGATTCCTCAGCACCACATAAGCAAAAAGAAAAAAGCTGGAAGTGGCGCTGTGGCTCAAGTGGTAGAGCGCTAGCCTTGAGCTGAAGAGCTGAGGGACAGCGCCCAGGCCCAGAGTTCAGGCCCCACGACTGGACCCAAAAAAAAGGCACAGGCACCAGTAGTTCACATGTATCCCTATATACCTAGCTATTTGGGAAGCTGAGATCAGGAAGACTACGATTTGAGGCCAGCACCAACAGAGTATATTCACAAGACCCCTTCTCAACCAATTGTTGCTGTCATACCAGCTAGGTCATAGAAGGTTGAGATAGAGAGGATTGAAGTTCAAGTCAGCCTAAGCAGAATTTTCCCAGCTATAGCAGAAAGCCTAAAATTGGTAAATCTCAACCAGGCATGTACTCAGATAGGAAATGAGACTCTATCACAAAAATAACCAGTACAAGCCGGGTGCTGGTGGCTCACGCCTGTAATCCGAGCTACTCAAGAGGCTGAGATCTGAGGATCACAGTTCAAAGCCAGCCCAAGCAGCAAAGTCCATGAGACTCTTATCTCCAACAAACTACCAGAAAACCAGAGCTGTAGCTCAAGTGGTAGAGTATTAGCCTTCAGCTGAAGAGCTGAGAGACAGCACCCAGGCCCAGAGTTCAAGCCCCATGACTAAGTACAAATTGAAGTGGCTCCAAATGGTAGAATCCCTGCTTAGCAAGCATGAAATCCTGACTTTAAACCCTAGTAATATGGAAAAATAATAGTACCAAAAAGGGCTGGAGATGTGACTCCATACTAGTACATCTATCTACATGCATGAAGCCCTCAGTTCAAACCAGCACCAGCTCTAGCTCTCCTTTATAGATAAGAACAAGAAGCCAGGCACTGGTGGCTCACACTTGTAATCCTAGCTATTTAAAGGACTGAGATGTGAGGATCATGGTGAGAAGCCAGCCCAAGCTGAAGTATATGACACTATTATCTCTAATTATTCACCAAAAAGTGGAAGTGGAGCTGTGGCTCAAAGTGGTAGAGCACTAGCCTTGAGTGAAAGAGCTCAGGGACCGTATCCAGGCTCAGCTTCAAGCCCCACAAAACCAACAACAACAACAAAAAAAGAGTCAGAGGTTGAGATTGTGGCTTAGTGGTAGAGTGCTTGCCTAGCATGCATGAAGCCCTGGGTTCAATTCCTCAGTACCACATAAAAAGAAAAAGCCAGAAGTGGTGCTGTGGCTTAAGTGGTAGAATGCTAGGCCTGCACAAAAGCAGCTCGGGGACAGTGCCTGGGCCCTGAGTTCCCCAAGACTGGCAAAAGAAATAAAAGAAAAAGAAAAAAAGAACCAGAGACTTGGAAAGGGTAAGCAAACTGCCACATCTCCCACAGTTGAGATGAAGTGGAACTAAACAAACCCAGGCATGTACGGCCACAACCATACCCTTAGCCGTAATTATGTGACTTCCCTGGAGTACTGTGGCCCAGTGGAAAGCTGCTGTCTTACAAAGAGCACTGTGTGACCTTCTGGAATTGACCTCTTTGTAACTGCCTCCATTGACATAGATGAGAATGACATGGTAATAGCTGGAATCTTTTTTTTGGGGGGGGGGGAGGGGTTCCGGTCGTGGGCCTGAAATCTGGGCCTGGGCGCTGTCCCTCAGCTCTTCAGCTCAAGGCTGGCACTCTACCACTTGAGCCACAGCGCCACTTCCAGCTTTTTTTTTCTTCTGCTTATATGGTGTTGAGGAATCAAACCCAGGGCCTCATGCATGCAAGGCAAGTGCTCTACCACTGAGCCACCTTCCCAGCCCCATGGAATCTTGAGTTCTATGGAGGGAGGTTGCCCCAGATCTCCAAGTTTGCTGCTCCTGCAGTGGGCTAAAAGGGCCAGTTGGCTTTAAATCCTCACTCAAGTTTTTGTTTTGTTTTGTTTTGTTTTCTTAAGTTTTTTTACAGTATGATCAAAGCATAGACCTTAACCTGAGATACTAACCTGAGATGCACTTGGCATTTGGAAGCTAAGCAGTACTGAGCTCTGTCAGCTACCCAGGCCTCCAGGCTTGCTTTAGGTTCTCTCATTGGTTTGAGTAACCATTTCCAGAGGGGAGTCCTATACCCTTGGCTTTGGCCTACCAGGTCACAGCCAAGCCCTGGTTCCCTTGGCCTCCAGGACCGCACCTGTGAAGTTGTTGAGGACACAGAATCCAGTCGAATGGTTAAAAAGATGAAGAAACGCATCTGCCTTGTCTTGGACTGCCTCTGTGCTCATGACTTCAGTGACAAGACGGCCGACCTGATCAACCTACAGCACTATGTCATCAAGGAGAAGAGGCTCAGCGAGCGGGAGACCGTGGTCATCTTCTATGATGTGGTCCGGGTGGTGGAGGCCCTGCACCAGGTGAGGCCCTGTCCCCCTCTCCTCTCAGCACTGTGGCTCCCTGGCTCCCCCCAGGGCCTCACTTGCCACAGAAAGCCACCTTTCCTGATGCTGCTCAGCAAAAGGCAGCTCTGTCCAGAGGAAAGCTGCTGAACAACAGATGCTCCAGGTGAGCACAGTGCCGTAGGCCTCTGAGGCGGTTTCTAGTGAGGGCCAATGGAGCAGCCCAGCAGAGGTCCATGAAGTAATTCCCCACCAGCTGGGAAGCTCCAGGACAGCTACAAGATGCCTACCCAGTGACTGCAGCCTTGTAGAATTAATGTGTCAGGTATCCAAGGTCAGGCACTGGAAAGCTTGAGCCTGGTTTCTTAGTGACAGGAAACAGGACATTTTATCTCTGACCTGTAGCCCCAGGATGATGGTTGGTTCCTTTCTGAAGGTTGTCCATGGAGAGAAGAGGGAGAGGAAAGGGAGAAGAGGCTCCCATTAGCTGCTGTCCTGAGGGGAGAAGGAAGTAAGGAAAGAGCTCAGGAGGGGCCCATCTTATCACTTCGGACACCCATTTAATGAGGCCTAAGAGATGTGTCCTAGGGTATTCTACCTCACACTTGTGGTGCAAACCATCTGCCCATTGGTTTTCAGAAAAACATTGTACACAGAGACCTGAAGCTTGGGAACATGGTGCTCAATAAAAGGTAAGATTCTATTTCTTCTTCTGTCTTTGGGATTGGTAGAAATTGAAGCCCCTTGAAGATTCTGACTCCAAGCAGCCCAGCCTCCCAAAATCGAGAGCTTGGGGTAGGATACTGGGTCAGATCTGTCTGTTGCCTAATAGGAATATGGTGCTTTCTGAGACTGGGAACTTAGAGCTATAAAAGTGGCTATGGAAAGGGATTTTAGTAGGCTCCCTGGCCATAGTGGGTGTTCATTAAATGACTGTAACAATGGACAGAAGGATTAAAGAGAGCAAGATGGGGCCTTGGCTGCCAGTTGGGCTCCTCAGAGAACAGATCATGTGGGCTGGGGGTACTGACTAGGCAGTGCTCTGGGAGAAGGAGGCGACTTGGCTGAGGGAGAAGCTGAACTATAAGGATAACATAGCAGGGCCTTAGCATGAAAACATGAGAGCGGTCCAGCTCCAGCTCAGAGGACATGGCCTTGGGTTAGACAGCTACTTTTGGCAATGTAGTCTTCCTAGAAAGAACTGACCTGGGCTGGGAATGTGGCTTAGTGGTAGAGTGCTTGCCTAGTGTGCATGTAATCCTAGCTACTCAGGAGGCTGAGATCTGAGGATTGCGGTTCAAAGCCAGCCTGGGCAGGAAAGTCTCCAATAAACCACCAGAAAAACAGAAACGTGGTACTATGGCGCAAGTGGTAGAGTCCTTGCCTTGAGCTGAAGAGCTCAGGGACAGCGCTCAGGCCCAAAGTTCAAGCCCCATGACCAACCAAAGAAAAAGAAGTGGCCTGGTAGTGATTTGTTCCATGATGTGATCAGACTAGCCCAGGAGAGTGTCCTGAGCCCACTGTCCCTGCAAAGTATCTGAAGCCTCAATGGTCCAAGGAAAGGGAGCTCTGCCAAGGGCAGAGGACTCGAGCCCAGCACACCACTGGAAAGTGCTGTGTACTTCAGTGGCCAAGCTGGCCTCGCCATCCATCACCTTCCCCTAGTTCTGGAGCTATAAACTCATCTCTAGGCCCATGGAGCTTGCCATATGCAGTACTGACAAGAATACAGGTATCCCATTGAGAACAGCACTTGGAGCAGACTGCCAGCTGAGTCAAGTCTACAAAGGATAAGTAAAACGTACTAGCCTGAAACAGTAAAGAGATGAGAGCTTTACCCTGTCATGCCTTGCAGGGAGGAGGGAAGAAAACAGGAAATTCCAGGGCTGCTTGGACCCCATCTGGCTGAGTAAGTTAGAGAAGAGGAAAAAGCAGGATATGGGGGTCAGACTTGGCTCATGTCCCAGGACTGCCTCTTGTTCTAAAGACCATGAGAGTTCACTAATTTACTCGCTAAGTGAATTTATCTACTGAGGTACCAGCACTTCTTTGCACTCACAATGCTGTAGAGGAAGAGATGATCCCACCTGGAAAAATTGGCCTGAGACTTAGATAAGTGGATGTGAAACTGTCTCACAGGATCAGCCCATCCTAAGAACTTCTAGTGCTGAGGTGGGCTGGAGAGAGGAGAAAGGGCGACCAAGTGTTCACTGTCCTCAGGAAATGGAGCCTGTTGCTGGTGAAGGCCCAAGGGTTCCCCCAGACCTTCCTCTGAATTCAAAGGGAGAATAATGTTAGTACTGGCCACTTTAGCCCTGAGTTGTGGAGAGATACTGTCTTAGAGAGAGACTTGGTAGCTGTGCACATCTGTGATCCCAGCACTCGGGAGGCTAAGGCAGAAATATTGGGAGGTTAAGATCAGCCTGGGCTATATAGCAAGTTCCAAATCAGCATGGACTACAGATTCAGACCCTCTCCTCCTGCCTGAAAAGACAAAAATAAGGAGGGGGAATGGAAGGAGGATGGAGGAAGGAAGGAGAAAAAGAAAGGAGGAGGAGGGAGAAGGAGGAGGGAAAAACAAGAAACACACAAAGTGATTTTTTTTTTTTTTTGGTCAGTTGTGGGGCCTGAACTCGGCCTGGGCGCTGTCCCTCAGCTCTTCAGCTCAAGGCTAGCGCTCTACCACTTGAACCACAGCACCACTTCTGGCTTTTTTCTTTTTGCTTATGTGGTGCTGAGGAATTGAACCTAGGGCCTCAGGCATGCAAGGCAAGCGCTCTACCACTGAGCCACCTTCCCAGCCCCACCCCCACCCCCTTTTTTTTTTTGTCTGAGACCAGGATTTAAACTCAATTCCTGATACCCAGCAGTGGCTGGTGCTCCACCAGTGGAGCCATACCTCCAACCTCCATGTCTCCCTCTAAAGCCTTACCTTCCCCACATAGAGTCAGGGGTTGACCTGGAAGAGCTCCAGCTCCTTCCTACCCACCCTGCCAGAGACTCCTGAGCCAGCCAGAGACAGGCAGGTAGCCGGGCTGTGTGCCCCTAAGAAAGGGGACAGGGTGAAATGTCTGTGAGGCAAGCAGCCAGTGACAAGAACAGTTGGCCTTGCGTTGGGTGAGAGGCCAGGACTGAGATCTGGAGTCCTCTTTTGGGGTTAAGTGAGGCTGACTGTGGGCTCTTTCTCTTTGCTCCTTCGTTTTAGGCAGGCAAGTTGCATACCAATTCCTAGAAAAGGAGAACACTGTGGTAGCCCAGAGGCCATAGCTGGAGTGTGACTCACTTAGAGCTGCCCCTGCTGACGCACAGGCCCCTCCACCCCTCACTGCCCTCACCATCCCCTCAGAACCAGCTGGGGGGTCTGGAACTCCCAGGGAGCTGTGTGCCGCCCGGCTGGTGTGGGCGGTGGTGGCAGGGCAGAGAAGCTTTGCCAAGCTTCAGGAGGTCTCAGCGCTGACCCTGTTGCTTCCCATGGAAGACTCTAGGCAGATCCAGGGCTGAGCAGCCACCACACGGAGGGTTGGAAGTCCTGCCGGCAGGGCTCAGTTGAGCTAAGCCTCCCCAGCACCAGTGCTCCATAGCCGGTGTCACTACTTCAGAGGCAGTGAGCGCTTCTCCTGGGATCTCATTGGAAACCTCTGCCAGGCCTGCCAGCAGCAGAAGAGAGGGTATTGGCAACCTGTGCAGGCGACAGGCTGAGCACCCTCCCTGGGCCATCTTATTATCTTGGCAGAGCCAGCTCAGTCCTGAGAGTGGAGCACTGGTATTTTTCCTGTCCCACAGATGAAGAAATTGAACTTTACCAGTATTCATAGGGCAAGAAATGTGGAAAACCCAGGACTAGGCCCTACAAATGAGTTCCTTCCTCTGAACTGTCCACCTTTCAGTGTCATTTTTGTGCCTAAGATGGCCAGGGCACGAAAGATTGGTCTGCTCTGTAGGACCCGTCCAGACCAGATGCCTGAGCAGGCCAGTGTCCAGTGCAGTGACATGAGGGTGGGGAGCATGCTTCCTGTGCCTGTGGCCCTTGCCCTGAACCTTTTGCCTGATTCTCAGGCTCTTAACTGCCCCACAGGCCATGGGGCAGCTTTCCGTAGGGCGCCTGTGTACCCACAGCACACTTCTCCACTAATACACAGAAGACAGACCGGCGTCTGTTTAGCCCCAAGCCCTTTGCCAGCAGAATTCCCCTGGATAGCTGAAGGACTCTCAGTCACTCAGACACAGCTGCTGGGGAAATCCACCCTCAGCCCCATACCCTCTCCCCACCTGAGACTTCATTCTAGAAAGAGATGGCCTGAGGTCCCTTGTGCAGATTCCCTCCCCCAGCTGCCATGTCTGCTGGCTGGCACAGGCCAGCACAGCTGCCTTAGAGGTCTCCTTAATGGCATAACCCCATGCACCTCCAGCTGTGGTGTCCCACACTGTGCTTCCTAGAAAGGCTGAGCCCGTCGCTATCTGCCCCACAGCCTCTTGGGGAGGGGGGATCTGGTTTTCTAGGTCAGGACAGAATGAAGCACAGGACAAGGTGTGAGTCAGCCTGAATGGAATGAAAGGAAAGAGTTGGGACTGGGCATTGTCTGCTCTGGATCCTATTCCATCACTCACTAGGCATGCGGGCTTTGGCCATGTGACTCCTGTGACATAGTTATACCTTCTGAATGGGGCGGTGAGAAAAATCTCCCTCAGGCTGTTGTGAGGAGTGAATGGAAACAATCAACTCCCTCTTGCATGAAAAGGAGAATTGGCAAAAGAGGAAAGAGATGCCACCAGGACTCAAGCTAGCTCTGTGTGTGTCTTAAGTTCAGTTCCCCCAAAGCCTTTAGGAGTATCCCTGATATGCCAAGGGTCCTCTTGAGTCTGGGCCCAGCTTGACTGAATGGTTCTCTGTTCTGCCTATGAGGACCATATTCCTCACTTCACATAGTTCCAGTGTTAGCAGCTCCCAGCCAGGCCCTACTGCTTCAGATGAGGAATCCCGAGATGCCACACCGTATCCGGCCATACTGCAAGGGGCAAATATTGTTGGGAATAGAGTTGGGGATGGACTGCAGTGGATAAGCACTTGGCTGTGTTCATCCCTAACACAAAACAAAACAAAACTCAAGAGCATCAAAGAAAAATCCCAGAAATTAGGACTAGACAAGCACTGCTGAGCACATGGTCTCGTTCATGTTGACTGGGTAGTGTCGCCTCCAGGTGTAGGTGCAGGAGGGCAGCATGGCCTGCCATAGTCCACAGCATCTGTTTGGCTAGGCTTGTGGTGGTGTGCCTGACAAAGCAGGTGTACTCCCTCCACAGAGAGATGCATTCTTTCTATGCATGAGGCCCCACGGCCAGACCCCAGCACTTTCCTGAGAAGACGTTAAATATCTGCTAATCCAACCTTGCCAGGGGAAGCCCAAGATGGCAGCGCCATCCATCCATGTGACCTCGCCAGCTCACAGTGCTTTCCTCTCTGGAGTGAATTTCCCTTCTCAGTAAAAACCCCAGCTCTGGCTGTAGGACTCCTGGGGTCCTTTGAACCATTAGCTCTAAACCCAGAGGGGGCCGTTGGTGCTCTGTCCCCCAGCAGTTGAGCTCATGGCTACTCAGCTGCCCTGCAACTGCACCAGTGTGCACATTCCCTGCCATAGAGTGGGAAGAAGGCCAAGGTTCTGTTTCTTCCTGTTTGCAAAGGTCTTGTTCCTTCCAACATACATAGAGAGTACTATCTTGAAATTGCCCAGAAAAATTCCCCCATTTTTCCAATGCCAGGATCTCCCTCCTACTGGGGTTTTAGAAAGAGAGACTATGTTAGGGTGTACTGTTGCTCTAGGGTACACTGTAATAACTCCTGATATCCCCCACTGATAGCTGGGATGACTCAGGCTTGCTCTCCTCAGCTCCTATGCAGACCTAATTGGACACCAGGGCCTGGGCCCCTTGGAGAGACCTTGGAGCCCACAGTGGATGGGCTGTGCCATCAGTAGTGGAGAATGAAGTATGGCACTAGCTTCCATACTCCACCAGAGTAGAGTAGCTGCACTCAATTTCCTCCTCTGCACGGCTGTGGAGCTTGGGGAGGAGGTGGTAGGCTCGGTCTGCAGGGAGGCCTCCTTACAGCAGGAGGAGGGCTAGGGCTACTCACTTCTGCTGAACTTACTCTCTAACATGTGTGAGTGAGGGAGTCAGGTCACATTTCTCGATCACTCCCAGCCTAGAATATCATGTTCTGCTCTGAGCTGCACCTGAGACTCAGCCAGAACAGCAGGTTTAGGAGAAGGCCCTGCAGCATAAATTGGAATGAAAGGAGCTAGATGCTCTGTTGGATGCTCAGCAGGCAGCCAGAAGAGGATATTGGCCACATTCCTCTGCTCTGTGGGTGGGGTAAGATTGCCCAGCTGTGTTTGTTCAAGATAGGGGCTGGCCCAGCAGGGTACCTGGCTCTCACCTGATGTTCCCAGCTGTGGACAGCCAACTCAATTTAATCTCTGCCTCCCTTCCTAGGACCCATCGAATAACCATCACCAACTTCTGCCTTGGGAAGCATCTTGTGAGCGAAGGAGACCTGCTGAAGGACCAGAGGGGGAGCCCAGCCTACATTAGCCCTGATGTGCTCAGTGGTATGTGTGGACTACCAGCTTTCACACAGCCAGGCTCTGCCAGTAGTGCATTCCCTCACTACATGGGATGTGTGCGCAGCCCCTGGGCTAGGTGCCAGGACTTCACAGTGGCCTAACAAGTACCATTAGGCAAAGGCTTTGGTCTAGTGGAGGAGGAAGATATTCTGGTCAAATAATGCATGAAGTTAGAGCTAGTACAAGAAGGGATGGGATTTCTAAGAAGGCATAGAAAGTTAGAGTAGGGGGCTAGGAAGGTGGCTCAGTGGCAGAGCGCTTGCCTTGTATGCATGAGGCCCTGGGTTCGATTCCTCAGTACCACATAAGCAAAAAGAAAAAAAAGCCGGAAGTGGCACTGTGGCTCAAGTGGCAGAGCACTAGCCTTGAGCTGAAGAGCTGAGGGACAGCGCCCAGGCCCAGAGTTCAGGCCCCACAAACGGACCCCCCCAAAAAAAAAAGTTAGTGTAGGATTTTCCCAGGAAATAACATTTGATCTACATTCTTTTTTTTTTTTTAATAGGTATTTATTTTGTCAGTCCTGGGACTTGAACTCAGGGCCTGGGCTTTGTCCCTGAGCTCCTTTAGCTCAAGGCTAACACTCTTAACACTTGAGCCACAGCGCCACCTCCGGCTTTTTCTGTGTATGTGGTACTGAGGAATCAAACCCAGGGCTTCATGCATGCTAGGTGAGCACTCTACCACTAGGCTACCTTCCCAGCCCTGATCTATAGTCTTAAAAACTAGGAATTATGGGCTGGGAATGTGGTTTAGTGGTAAAGTGCTTGCCTAGCATGCATGAAGCCTTGGATTCAATTCTTCAGTACCAAATAAACAGAAAAAGCCAGAAGTGGCGCTGTGGCTCTCAAGTGGTAGAGTGGTAGCCTTGACTAAAAAGAAGCTCAGAGACAGTACCCAGGCCCTGAATTCAAGCCCCAGGACTGGAAAGGAAGGAAGATAGATTAGTTTTTGAGGAGATTTGTTGTTGTGCTGGTCCTAGGGTTTGAACTGAGGGTCTGGGTCCTATCCCTGAGCTTTTTTGTTCAAAGCTTGCACTCTACCATTTAAGCCACAGCTCCTCTTCTGGCTTTTTTTTCTGGTTAATTGGAGATAAAAATCTTAAGGACTTTTCCTGCCTGGGTTGGCTCCAAACCATGATTGTCAGATCTCAGACTCCTTAACAGCTAGGATTATAGGCATGAGCCATCAGCACATGGCTTAAACCTTAATTCTTACAAAACACCCAGTCTCTAGCATTCAGTTACAACAACAGGAAATGGACTGAGACACTGTAGGACAGAGGAAGAATAAAGGTTTACTCAGCTCACACTTCTAGAGGCTGAACCCCAGGTCAAGGGGCCACATCTGGCGAAATCTCCCTCATTCTTGGGCCACATCTGGCGAAATCTCCCTCATTCTTTGCTGTTGGAAACCCTCCGAGGTCATACGTAGCATCACATGGAGAGGAGGTCATACAAGGACAAAGCCAGAGCCAGACAAGTTTATAACAGAACTAGGATTAGGCTTACTGACCATTCTCATGGGGGTGAAATTTCAGTGGGTTTGGTAGGAACATTCATAGTGTACAGCACAGATAAACTGTAGCACAGAGAAGTTAGCAAAAAATGTCTGAGTTCTCCATGAGCCTGGGGCTCCGCAGTCAGAAAATTTGTCTTGTGGCCAGCTGCTAGAGAGCAGCAGACGAAAAGGGGCTCCAGCAGTGATAATAAGTGTTGTGAAGGAAGCATGGAAGAATGGAGAGGGATCAGCTGCTTTCACAAATGTAAGCTTGCCTGCTGGGGGCAAGGACTAGGACCCAGGCTCCTCCCCTTCCCGGGACTTGGATTTTGGAGAGGCAGGCTGGCCAGTGTACAGAGCAGGGCTAGTAGACAGGCTGTACACAGCCAGTCACCTTCCATCCTAGTGAGCCATCCCAGGGAGATAGGGAATGATACCGAGAAGGAAGGGAGCCAAGAGGACCGAGTGTGAGGTGGGAGGCGGACACGCCCATGATGGAGCTACCCAGCTGAGTCAGGGGGCCCACAGCAGAGGCATCCCAGAGCAGTTCCTTCCTCTGAGCATGTGCATCCTCTGTCCCTAGGCCGTCCATACAGGGGCAAGCCGAGTGACATGTGGGCTCTTGGTGTGGTACTCTTCACCATGCTCTATGGCCAGTTCCCTTTCTACGACAGCATCCCACAGGAGCTCTTCCGCAAGATCAAGGCTGCTGAGTACACCATCCCTGAGTGAGTCTCTGAATTCTTGGTGAGGGGACAGCATGAGGAGGCCCCAGAGTCCGGGGGAGGCCGGTCTCAGGCCCTCCTGCCAAGCTTTCACCCTCCTCTTCTCCCTGGCAGGGATGGGCGTGTCTCTGAGAACACCGTGTGTCTCATCCGGAAACTACTAGTTCTCGATCCCCAGCAACGCCTGGCTGCTGCTGATGTCCTGGAGGCTCTCAGTGCCATCATTGCATCTTGGTAAGTGGCTAGCCCTGGGCCATGGACTCGACTAGGCTGGGAAAGCAGATGCCTGCCATCTCATGCACAACTACAGTCAGACAGTGAGAGTCAGATGTCCAGGTTTCCCAGGGCAGGACTGGGAGGGAGCAGGCAGAGAGCAGGATGAGTGTTTCCCACGTGTCCCTCCCTGCCAACTGCAGGGTAGAATTTCCTCACCCAGTTCTCCACAAGTCCCCAAGAAAAAAAAGTTCTCCCTGAATTGGATAAGTCAGAGGCTGACAGGAGTCAGTCATGTTAGACAGAAGATGAATGTCTAGACCCAAGCCAGGGCTCCCTGACTCCAGCTAAGTCTGGAGTGATGGGACCCTGGCTTTTTTGGGGCTGACCTGTCTACCTACCCTGCAGGCAGTCCCTGTCATCTCTGAGTGGGCCTTTGCAAGTAGTTCCTGACATCGATGACCAAATGAGCAATGCAGACAGCTCCCAGGAGGTAAGGGGGTGGGGCGGGGGGAAGGGGAGGCAGGACAGGGGAACAGGCAGGCCAGCTCCCTAACGACACAGGACCTCCTAAGGCTTTCTTCCCTTATCCCTGAGGAAGAGTGGAAGCTGCCTGCATCCTGCCTTGCATCCAGCCCAGCCAGAGCTCCCATGCCTGAGCTGAGCAGGGGCCAGCTCCTGTGAGGCCCTCTGCTGAAGACGCTTTGTGCGGCTCTCTCAGCCTCCTCCTCCTGCCAAAGTCACTTTTCTCTGACCCTCTGACTCACTATGTCCTCTCACTCCTCCTGCTTTCTCGTTTTTTTAGATGATTCATTTATCCCTGTTTTCTCTCCAATCAGTGCACTGGAGAAAGTGCTGATCCTGATTGGTATGGGGGGGAGGCGGGGCGGGCAGGGTAGGGGACAAAGACCTGAGTGCTAGGCAGCAGCTGGCAGGTAGTTTTAGGGCGCCCCCTGGAGGCTGCCAGCCTGATGTGTAAGGACCCTCACTCCTGGCCCCTCTTGGAAGCTTTAAAGCAAACAATAGGAGAAGCAGTATCTGGAACCACAGCAGAGCCTCCCAGACCTTGCAAAGAAAGAGCTCCAGTTCCACCCCAACTTCCACCCTTCCCAGGCTGCTGAGCTGCTAAAATAGTCATTATTGGCACTTGTAGAATATAGAGCATCAGTCCTCCCTAAGCTTGTATGGCCTATGTTCTTTCTCTATGTGTTTATATGTCAGTCCTGGGGCTTGAACTCAGGACTTGGATACTGTCTTTGAGCAGTTTCACTCAAGGCTGCACTGTACCACTTCAGCCACAGCTCCACTTCCAGTTTTCTGGTGGCTAATTGGAGATGAGACCCCCCAGACTTTGCTGTCCAGGCTGGCTTCAAACCCACAATCCTCAGATCTGTGCCTCTTGAATAGCTAGTATTATAGGCATGAGCCACCGATGCCCAGCTATCTTTTTTTTTTTTAATTAGCATACATTAGTTGTAGGGAGGCGGGGTTCATTGTGACATTCCCACACATACATACAATACAATGTATTCTGATCAACTTTATCCTGGTCCTCCTCTATCACTCTTCTAACCCAGTCCCCACGTCTTAAAACCATTTCTACAGACCTGCATTCTTTTCCTCAATTTATAAATGAGGAAACTAAGGTTCAGAGAGGCAAAATGGTTTCCCCAAAGTTGCACAGCTTGGAAGTAGAACTGAACCCTGACTCCTAACTAGTATAGACTTACCACTGCTGATTCTATTACCATCTACCTGTGGGCTAGGGGACTCATCAGGGGCTTGTGGGTAGGACTGAGATAAAGACATGAGGTTTCCCAGATACTGTGGCCGCTGGCCCTGCTCCTGGGTCTGTGCTTTAGCCAGCAATGTGAGGGCCAGTTGGCTGGAGGAAGCCTTCATGGACCCACTCAGTACCTGGCCAGATGGATCCCTAAGTGTGGTACCTAGGAAGGCTGGGCACAGAGCCAGGCTTCCCTCAATCTCTGCTGTTGTCTTCATCTCCATCCTTGGCCTCACAGGCAAAAGTGACGGAGGAGTGCTCCCAGTACGAGTTTGAGAACTACATGCGGCAGCAGCTGCTGCTGGCTGAGGAGAAGAGCTCCATCCACGAGGCCCGGAGCTGGGTGCCCAAGCGGCAGTTCGGCAGCGTGCCACCGGTGCGACGGCTGGGCCACGACGCACAGCCCATGACCTCCTTGGACACAGCCATCCTGGCACAACGCTACCTGCGGAAATAGCGGCGGCCTCTGCCAGGACACCTGCCCCAGTATCACCTCTCCAGGCGCCCAGTCCCAGCCCCAAGCCTGGCTGTCAGGGCTGGGCCCAAAGTGCTGGACTTTCCCAGGCTGCCATGGGGCAGGGCAGGGCAGGGACAGCCCAGGTCACGTGAGTCAGCAGAGGCACCACAAAGCTACCTTTTGGAATGATTGCTTGATTGTTTGGTTTTTTGTTTTTTGTTTTTTTAATCTGAGAAGCCTAGATAACTAATCTGCTTTTAATCATGACATTTTAATCTACCTCTGTCTCTTTAACTGAGCTGTCTCTGGACTAAGTGACAGGAGGAGGAGGGAGCCAGCCACCCACCCAGGCTGTGGCCCCGGGGCCCTGTCCCCCACAGTCCAAATAAGCTCAAAGAGCAGCTCGCTGCTGGCTTCCCAAATGAATGCCCTCCAGACCCGCCCCTCCCCCCAGCTGCAGAACACCTCCACCTCATCGGATGCCCAGTTCAAATATATTTATTTTTTTACTGAAATCAACTTCTCTCCCATCTCTGGGTGGCTCAGCCTGGGGCTACCCCGTCCCCACGTGGACAGCAGGGGTCCATGTGGGCTCCCTCCTCACCCCCAGGCACAGAGGAGCCCCTTTGCTGGCCCATCCTGCCCAGCCCTCTGTTTCCAGTGATGGGAGGCCTTTCTAGGTTTCATTCTTTCTCTGTCTCACTCAGTGGCTTCTCTGAGGTGCTGCCCGTGGAAGCCCTGCTTCCTTCTCCGTCTTTCATGTGGTACCCAGGTACACATGGTACCCACACAGCAGACACGATGTGAAGGGAGCGGGGGTAGACTGGGCGGCAATGCTCTGGGTCTGGCTGCTCTTGCTTTCCCACCCCTGTGTTCAGAGGACCCACCATGGGAGCATCTCCCCTCCTGCCCTCACCTCAGAGTAGATGTTGTGTCTCCTTTGGCACACCCTAGCCAGGGACCTTCATGGAGGTCAGAGACTTGAGGGGACGATTGTAGCGATCGGGGACCTGCCCTGCCTGGTTTGAGAACAGCCCTGCTGCCCTTTTGAGCCAAGATTTTGAAGTGGATGCCCGTCTTGCCAGAACTGCTGTTCTCACCAGAATGACCACCTCTCCCTTCCCCCTCACTGGACTCGGCCCAGCCCAGTGCCAAGCAAAGACCCTCGTCCAGAGGCCTCTCCTCCCCATGTATCCTTAGAGAGGCCAAATATCCCCTCCAGGTAGCCCAAGGCCCTTCCTGCCTATTCTTGCTTCCCAGTGGGGAGGTGACTGTTTCTAGAGTGTGGGCTGCCTCCTTTTATCCCCCCAAAAAGCTGACTCACTGTGAGTGACCTTGGGCAAGTTCCCAAACTTCCTTGTGCCTCAGTTTCCCCATCTGGAAAAAATGGGGCCACCTCTTGCCAGCAGTAGCAGGGCTGCCCACACCCCTCCTCCCCCTGTCCCCAATCTAGCACTTGGGCGCCTTGTGCCTCTGCCTCAGTGGGTCTGTGGGAGCCCTCCTGAGCCCAGCACTTCCTCCCTGAGCACCTGGCTCTGCCTCTAGCCCAGCTGTCCAGCCTCTCGAGAGCCAGGGGTGGGGAGGCCTCTTTTCTGTATTTATTTGATAAAAGTCTCCTGAGGGAGCAGAAATGCAGTCAGCGTGGACTCCCGGGCCTGAGACTGCCCTCTGGCGAGGCTTGGGGGCTAGCCAGGGCCACCTGGACAGAGCCCCTAGCCAACAGTCTGTGGGGCCCCTTGGGCCTGCGTTCCACTTGCGGTCTCTCTCCTCCTTTTCAAAGCAATATCCTCAGGTCTGCAGAGCCCTGTCAGCCAGCCCTGGCTCTGGCTGCGTTTTGGCGAAGGAGAGGAGAGGAGGTTGGGTCTGCCCTCACTGGTGTCACACACTGAGAGAAGTCCTGTTGTAAAGAAACAAAACAAAACGGAAAAAGTCACAAAAAGTTTGTATAAAGACGTATTTTTGTACTACATGGGGACTCTTCCTGCATGTCAGCAATAAAACTTCCTGATCTGGAGCCACCATGGCCCACAGTGTCTGCGGTTCTTGCTCTGCTGAGGTGCCTCCATCTTGGGCTCCAGCCCAGCCATCCTCTCCCACTCTGGTAGGGCAGCCACCAGATGTTCCTACCTCCCCGCACTGTCCTGAATCAGGAGGGGGTCCAGTCCAGCAGCAGGAGCCCACAACCATGGTAGCTAGAGAGAGCAAAGCCCTGTGTGTGTGTGGATCCTAACAATAGGCTGCTCTGCCCTTAGGCCGGCCAAGGAGCTGGGGTGAGGAAAGGCCAAGCCAGGCTATTTCCTGCACTGCCTCCCCCTCCATGGGAAGTCCAGGGGTGCCTTCCTTCCTTTCTTCCTTCCTTCTGTTGCCTAAATTTAGACTGCAGATTGTGCTTCCCTAGCTGCGAAGCGAGAGGCAAGCAAGCTGCCCCGTCCCCTCCCCCTTGTGCCCAATAGTGGGGAGTGGGAAGGTCAAAACTCCAGCTGGCAAAAGCCCCTTTGCAGGTAAGCAGATGAAAGAGGGTGTGGCTCCCCCCCCCCTGGAAGAGAGCCTCAATTCTTTGCAGGCCCCCAGCCCTGGACCCCTGGGCCCTACCTTCACCCGAGAACCCCACAGCAGCCCAGTGGTCCAGATACTACATCTGGCACACATACCTTGTCTGCCCTGAATATACTGCCAGAAGGTACCTTTTCCCCCAATCCATTCCTGCCAGCAGCTGCCCTGCATCAGGCCTCCACTCACAGCCTCACCTCATCCCTTACCCAGCCAGCCACTGCTCAGTGTGCAGCTGTCTCTCCAGACAGGGGTATACAGCATGTTCCAGGAGGCAGGGACCATTTCACTCGCTTTAGGGTCAGCCCTTCGAAATAGCCTGGCACTCAGAAATCCCTGGTTTATTGATCTGCACTGGCACCACTCATCCTAAGTTTTTACTGGGAACCCTGGAATTAAAGGAAGGAAAGGGAAGGTACCAGAAAAAAGCAGCGGAAGGTGTGTAATTATGATCAACAGCCATCTGTGTTCCTGAGCCGTCACAGCAGGTAAGAGCTGAGACGTTCCCAGGAGCAGCACAGAGTTCTCCAGTGGGAAAGGTAGTGAGGATGGAGAGTCCTGCTGGCTGAGGTATCCAGGCTCTGAAACCAAATCAGCCTTGTGTCTGCCTCCCTGCCACCTCCAGTCCTGTCTTGAATCTGACCACTTGTGACAGCAGCCACCAGATCTCCGCTCTGGACTCCTTGGTCTCCTTTGCCTTAGGCCAGGAGCCACATGCAGCCTGAATGAGCCTGCTAACATCAGATTCATGGTCCCTCCTGCCTACAACTCTCACATTCCTGACCCTTAACTCCTCAGCCCCTCCCTGACCTGTACTCACTCTGTTCTGCCACAAGCAAATCAGCACACTTCTGCTACTGGCCTTGCCACTAGCTACTCTTTCTGGAAGGTTCTTTCTTCCTGGACCGGAGTCCCTTACTCAGATTTGTTGTAGTGATCACAGCCTGACACGTATATTCTATTCGCTACTCACGTTAGGCCTCAAGAATGATGACAGAATTCTCTTCTGCAGTGTCCACTGTAGGGCTGGGGGAGCGGGGGGAGGTGGGTACACTGGTCCCTCCTAGCATTCAGGGGTGAGAGCAAGGGACCCCAGGCAACCCAGAAGGCAAGCAGATTTTACATCTGCACACTGTTAAGTAGAAAATGTACTTGTTACCAGAGAGAATTGGCTCTGTGGTCTACACTGCATCTTTTGGGAATCAACTGTGTAGAGAAAATCCCCCCCCATGCTGGAGATTGAACCCAGGGCCTCTGCGTGCTAAGAACATCTAGATGTTCTTAGTCACTTGAGCCATGCCCCTAACATAAGTGGAGGAAATTTGTCCCTTCCTTTGTTCAGAAATTTACCGAGTTCATCCCACCCACCAGTGTTTCCAGGGCTGGCCTGCTCACACAGCAATGGATCACCCCCCAAATATACATCACTACTTTTTATATCACAGGACAAAGAAACATTTTTTTTTTTTTTTGTCAGTCATGGGGCTTGAACTCTGGGCCTGGGCGCTGTCCCTCAGCTCTTCAGCTCAAGGCAAGCGCTCTACCACTTGAGCTACAGCGCCACTTCCGGTTTTCTAGTGGTTTATTGGAGATAGGAGTCTCACGGTCTTTTCTGCCCGGGCTGGCTTTGAACCGCGATTCTCAGATCTCAGCCTCCTGAGTAGCTAGGATTACAGGCGTGAGCCACCGGTGCCCGGCAAAGAAACATTTTTAACTAAGGTGAAGGTTAGTATGTTAGAGGCATGTTTTGCTTCCAGTGCAGACAGGAGCAACAGGAAGTACAGTGGAAAGGCAGCTTTGGGGGTGACGGGATGGAGAACCCTGAGCGGAAACTGCCAAGCGGGAGTCATGCTCCAAACTGTACAGTGCCAGGAGGACCCACTAGATCCTTTACTAATACCCATGGAGAACCTTCCCCAGTACCTCTTCCCAGCAGCTATTCTGAGTACTAGACTTTTCCTCCATCCAAAACTTACCTCTGTGGAATGGGAGGCCTCAGTGACTCTCAGCATAGCCATGGCGGGAGGGAACATGCTGTTGGAACTTGGCGCTGGTCTGTAAACATGCCAGGCAGAGTCTGCAGTGGTCTGGACCTCTCGGACCCTCTTCTATCAAGACCCATCTTTCTTGTTTCCTCTTAGGAGTGCTCTGTGCTTTCCAAAGGCAACACAGGCTGGTCTCACAGGCAGGCAGGACAGAGGTTGAGACTGTCAAGAAGGCAGGCGGGCAGGGAGGGAGATGAGCAGGTGGATAGTGGGATACCAGCCAGATGAGCAAGTGACAAACATGCAGAGATCTCAGCCACAGATGGAAGCAGACACAGACAGGGTGAGCAGTGACATGAGACAGGCAGCAAAGCATACAAGTAGGTGGCCACGAAGGGCAGCGAGCCCTGTGGAGGATGCAAAGGCTTGAGGCAGCTTCCCCCCTGCTGCTGCTTTAAGTCCTCAAGGACAACAAAGCCACTGTGGTTGGCTACACTCATCCCAGGGGAAGGCAGCACTCTGGGAACTCTGTATCTCTCTCTGGAGGAACCAGTAACTACCTTGTCATCTTATTTCTGCACGTTCACCTGCTTGCCTGGGGCTGAGTTACAACCTTTTCCAAACACATCTCTTACACCCAAGCTATACACAGACACACCTTTGCCTACAGGCAGTGAGAGAGATCCGCATGGCACAGGTGCAAGAAAACTGCTTGACAGAAAATATCCCAAACCTCACACTGCACACACACACACACACACACAGATGAACGCAGACCCAAACTGATACACAGCACTCCGTGCCAGTACTGCTGTAGCACACAGCGATATGCATGTAGATGGAGACATTAAATACATCAATCATCAATAGAGTTCATAACACATGTTGAGTAATTAGCCAGTCACACACACATGCCTTAAACAAGGAGAGAGCCTATGAGAGCACCAGAGGTTGGAGATTTGTTGAATGCTTGGCAAAAAATAAATAAAAAATTGTGCCTGTTTTTATGTGGTTATTAGAAATTTTACAACTATAGTTGGGTGTCAGGGGCTCATGCCTGTAATCCTCACTACTCAAGAGGCTGAGATCTGAGGACTGCAGTTTGAAGTCATCCAGGGAAGGAAAAACTCATGATGTGTGTGTGTGTGTGTGTGTGTGCTGGTCCTAGGGCTTGAATTCAGGGCCTGGGCACTGTCCCTGAGCTTCTTTTGCTCAAGGCTAGTGCTCTACTATTTGGACTTCCAGCTTTTTCTGAGTAGTTTATTGGAGGTAAGAGTCTCACAGACTTTCCTGCCTGGACTGCCTTGGAACTGTGATCCTCAGATCTCAGCCTCCTGAGTAGCTAGGATTATAGCTAAGACACCAGTGCCCAGCCCTGTGAGACTCATATCCACCAAACTACAAACCACTACCACTACCACCAACAAAAGCTAGAAGTGACACTGTAGCTCTACTGATACAGTGCTAGCCTTGAACAAAAAGCAGCTCAGGTTCAGAGCTCAGACCCTGGGACTGGCATGTGTGCACGCACGCACGCACGCGCACACACACACACACACACAAGACAGAAGCATGGCTCAAGTGGTCAAGTGCCAGCTGAGCAAGCAGGATTCTGGTCTCTTCATCTCTCAGTGGCATGTAACACAGCTGATCACGACCCTGTTCTATCTTCTACCTCACTGGTCACCTCTCTGAGGAGGGTATTACCTCATGTCAATGTTCAGGGCTCAGGCTTGGAACCTTTCTCTTCTACTCTTTTCCCTGCCCTAGGTGGTACAGTTCTCGGCAGAAATGGCCATGGGGGCTGGGGAGGTCTACCTACTTGACGCTTCCAAGTGTCTAATGTATGCTTGAATCTGACATATCTAAAATAAAACTCTCACCAACCCCCCAAAATGTATCCCCCTCCCACATTCCTTGAGTGCTTAGGCCCAAGATCAAGGCTAATTTTTTTCCCTCATGTCCACCTCTGCACAGAACTCCTTCAAAATACCATCTGCATCTAGCCCTTCCCCCTGTCACCCAGCCACTGAGCCTAGGCCCTTACTTGCCTGGAAGGCTTGCCTGCCTGCTCACTGCTCTGCTTCAATCCTTGTCTCCCACCCCTCCCATGGCATATCCTACCCCGAGCTACCACAGAAGTCACCCCAGAATGTGGCATGGGACACGGCACTGCTCTTGCTTAAAACTTGGACTCTGCTCTACCCTTACAATCAATCCAGGCTCCTCCCCTGCATGGTTACTCTCATCAATCACCCTCCCCAGGCCTTTGCCCTTCTTCCTGCCTAGACACTCTCCCCTAGTCCCTGGCATGAAGGAGATTCAGCTCTCACCTTGGATGGCCTGTGAGAGCCACCACCGAAGGCCACCAACACATCAGCTGATTCTACTAGTCATCCTGAACATTTCCCATCCCCTGAGGCTCTCTTCCCCGCACCAGCATGGAGACTCCAATTTAGTGTCAGCACCCTGAGGCCCAGGGCTTGTGTACTATACTAATTTTTCACTAATAAACCTGCCTCTTTCCCCATTCCTAGGAAGGACCAAGCACCCACGATCAGTTAGCATCTGTTGACTAGGGGCTATAACCCACCTCTACACAAGTACACAAGCAATATTTAGCATGCATAGCCTATACACAACAGATATGAGCAGAAATACCTTTATTCAGGCTCACAAAGCAAAGTTACAAAGACATCCAAGGTGGGAGTCAGCCTAGTCCCTTCCCCACCTTGATCTGCCCTCTGCTTGAACCCAGTCTCAGAAGTGGGGGAGTGGGGGTCTGCAGCCAGAATGGAGAGGGGGTCGTTGGCCCACAGGCCTCAGGCACGGCCTTCAGCTATGTCTGCAATTTCCTCTCCCTCCTTCCTTCCCTCCTCCTCCCTAAGGCTCCCGCCAAGAAAGCCTCCCCCTCACCCCAGCTCCAGCGGCGGCAGGCAGGGAAGCCCTGGGGCCGAAGGGGGAAGGGTGCCTGGAAGACCGGGCAGAAAGAGGACCAACCCCAGCTGCGCACTCATCACACGTTGCCCGCACAAGCTCAGCCCAGGTGGAGATGCACGTGTGAGCCTGGGCGGGCCTAGCCAGGGCGCCTGTCACTCAACTGGACTCAGGCATCCCCTGCTTCCTTCGGGGTCTGCAAGCCTGCACCGGCCGGGCGCACCGCGCACCGCGCACCGCCTATCAATCAATCATCAGCCTTGTCTGACCCGAGCAGAGCTGGCCAGCTGGGCGCACTGAGGTCTGGGGCCCAGCAGGAGGGACCCCAGGACTCCCACCCTCCCCAGTGGTTGAGGATCTGGGGGTGAGTGCTGGCAAAACAAAGCAAAAGCCGCCCTGGGGGAGGGGGGTGCGCAAAGGGACCCTGAGAAGTGAGCGGAGGACCGGGAAGCGGTCTGGAGCCTGAGCTCTTGGGCCAGGAGTGGTGAGTTCGAATGCTGGCCGGTTGCTAAAGTTAGCCTCTCCCCAAACTCGGCGTTTTCTTCATCCGATGCGGGGGTGGCTCGGATTAAAGCCCAGGTGCGGGGCGGGGGGGGGGGCGGGTCAGCCTCCGCGCCGCCGCTGTCGTCAGTGGGGGCGGCCCCGCCACGGCCTCCCCCGCGGCTTCCTGTGACGGCCGCCCCCCTTCCTCCCGCCCCTCCTGCCCGCCCCGCCCCTCCTCTTTCCTCCGAGGAAACTTTCCACCGGTTGCTCTCTCGGCCCGTGTCCGGTCGCGCCGCCGCTGGGAGCCGAGCTGGGCGGACGGGGCGGGAGCGGCGGGGCCGTCCCCGGGTGTATGCGGCCGCCGGCGGGACGGACGCAGGGCCTCGGCGGCGGGGCGGCGGGGCGCTGACGGTGAGCGAGCGGGGCCTGCGGGCGGGCGAGGCTGGCGGCCTCTGACCCGCCCCTCACCCCCGCGCGCGGGGACCCCGCGGGGCGGCGGCTCGGGTCTCCCTCCAGGGCGGAGCTGGGCCGGGGCGCGGGGCGGGCGGGCCGAGGCGCTGACCTGGCCGCTCCCGCAGGCTGGCGGGGCGCTGCCCCCCGCGCGGCATGGATGCCCCGCGCCGGGACATGGAGCTGCTCAGCAACAGCCTGGCGGCCTACGCGCACATCCGCGGTGAGAGGGGACCGCGGGAGCGGGGTGTGCGCGTGTGCGCGCTCGGGCCCTTCCTCTCTCCTCTCCCCCTCCCCTCCCGTCCATCCCCCAGCCCTGGCCCCAAACCTGGAGTCTCCGGGGATGGGGTGGACTCTCCATGACCTTTGCCCTCCCCCCCCCCAGCCAACCCTGAAAGCTTTGGCCTCTACTTCGTGCTGGGCGTCTGCTTCGGCCTGCTGCTCACTCTGTGCCTGCTGGTCATCAGCATCTCCTGCGCACCCCGCCCGCGCCCTCGGGGCCCCGCTCTACGCAGGGACCCTCGCAGCAGCACCCTGGAACCCGAAGACGAGGACGACGAGGAGGAAGACACGGTGACCAGGCTGGGCCCTGACGACACGCTGCCGGGCCCCGAGTTGTCGGCTGAGGCCGAGGGGCCGCTCAGCGTCAACGTGTTCACGTCCGCCGAGGAGCTGGAGCGCGCGCAGAGGCTGGAGGAGCGGGAGCGGATCCTGCGGGAGATCTGGCGCACCGGGCAGCCAGATCTGCTGGGCACTGGCACGTTGGGGCCCTGCCCCACGGGCACGGGCACACTGGGCCGCATGCACTATTACTGACGCCCGGCCCAGCTTCCGAGGGGCTCTTGAGTACTGGACATGTATCAGAGCCCAGAGCTGGTGGCCCCAGGACTTTTGGACTTGCCTGGGTTCCTGAATTCCCCTGGTGCTATTGGATATAGACTGCCACTTTCTGCGAGGCACCCATCCCGGGTGGGAGCGGGAGGAGGATGCAAGGTCCCCATCTTCTCTTCCCCGGGAACGATGATGTGACCAATGAAAGTAGCGTTCTCAATGACTGTCTCTCCCTCTGTTGCCTTTGCCTCCAATGGGTCCCCAGGCTCCTGCCACGCAGCTAGGCCTTACTAGAGTCCCAAGGATCCACGACCTCTGCCCTCCCCCCCCCCCCCCCCCGTCACTTCACAGACACCTCGCCCCTCTCCAGCTCACACAGGACAACAGCACGCCCCTCGCTCACATGCGTTCCTACAGGCAAACGCTTGGGCACACGTCCCCGTGGCCGCACTGTGCCCTAGACTCGGGCATAATTGCAGTCACACGCAGCAGGCCTGCGGAGCCTGGCCGTGACGCTAAGGGTGGCAGCCCCAGTGTAACCACGCGTGCCTGAGCTAGGCTACAGGTGGAGCTCCTATCTGGGCCGAGGTGGACCGAGTGGACCGGAGTTCCTCTGGGCAGCAAGCGGGTGTGGCCGCCTGGGAGGGGTCGGGCTCCCAGCCCAGCTCCGGCTGCACAGCTGGATTCCGGAATCGGCCGGCTGTGGCTCTCCCCAGCCCGCCGCCGCCGCCGCCGCCGAGGTCCAGCGCAGGGCTGGCGTCTTGAAGGAGACACCCTCTGCCCCGCCCCCCTCCATCCGGTGGATAAAAATAGCCGCGCAGGCTTTGGGAACCGTAATGGGAGCCACATGTGGGCCAGATGTGCCCGCCAGAGACCTCCAGGAATTCCAGGGGCCGGGCTGGGGCGGCCCCGCCCCGTCCCGCACAGCCCGACCCCCCGGGCCAGCTCCGAGTGGCAGGCAGGCGGCAGGCAGGCCAGTTTACTTCCTTGCATTTCCCAAAGCTGTGCGCACGGACTGGGATGCCAGAGCCCGACGGAGGCTCCTCCGCGCCCGCCCTCACTGCGTCTGCGTCTGCGCGTGCTTGAAACTCGGTGGTGGAGACTTCTCTGACTTCCGCAGCATCTGAGCCTAGTTGGGAGAAGGGGGGGGGTCAGGGCTGGGCCCGGGCCTCCCGCCCTCCCCCCCCTCCCTCCCGCCGGGGCCTGCAGCCCCACCCACCTCCAGCCAACTGCGCTTCTCCCTCTCGCGGTTCAGCTCCTCCCAGACGTCAGTCATTTGCTTCCTGGGGACGGGAAGCCCAGGTGAGGTGGGGATGGGGGGCGGACACCCCCCCCTCTCCCCCGGCCGGCCGCCACCACTCACTCCAGCTGCAGCTGCAGCAGCTCGAACGCGCTCTTGAGGGACTCCACTTCCTCCTTCAGTGTCACTCCATCCGCCTGGTTATTCTTGCTCTCGGAGTTTTGCGGGCCCCGGGAATGAAGGGCGGGAGTCTCTTGGGCATCTTGAGTCTGCTTCGTAGTCTGTGGTGTCTGGGGAGTGGAAGATCTCTCTTTCGGAGGCATCTGCTCCTCACAGGTCACCTCTCTTAGGGGTTCTTTGGGGGGCGCCTCCAATTTCGGAGTAGTGTCATCGTTGGCATGGAGGAAAGTTGTGGCCTCTCCCTGGGAAGGCTCAAGCTTAGACTGGAGTGGGGAGCTGTCCCCCTGTTTACTCATACAGAGGCAGCCCTCAAAGCCGTGATGGCTCTGGGAGGGCTCCTCTCCAGACGTCGCCCTCTGCGGGCTTTCCTCCCGGGAGAAGTGATGTATCTGGGTGTCTCTGGGGGCGATGTCATCAGAAAGCACCTGCTCAGAAGTCAACGCCTTTTCTGGGGTGAGGGCTTTGTCCTCCCAAGGGACCTTTGGGTCAAGGGCTTCATCCTTAGATGGGTTTTCTAAAGCAGGGTTCTTATCCATAGAAGAGATTGTCTGCACACTGGAGGCCCTGTTCAGAGACCGGGTCGTCTTCTTTAGGCTGGAGACCTCATGGAGAGGTGGGGTCTTCTCTGGGGTGGTGATCTTACCGCCCGTGGGGGTTTTGTTCCTGGAAGAGCTCTTTGCCAGCCTTCTCTGCTTTTCCTCCTGTGGCAATGGGGGCGAGGCCTCAACTGAAAGCTCCACCTGACTCTCCTCTGCCCTTGCACACCACACCCCTGGGTACCGGCCTCTACCCAGTATTCCCTCTCCCACACTGCCTCCTACCTCTCACCTGACTGGATGTAGGGTGCTGCCCAGGAGCCGAGGTTCTGGATCGCTTCTTGCCAGGTTGCCCTGGACCTCCACTGAGGAAGTTGCCATTGGCACCTATGGAAACAGGACCTCAGGGTCTGCTCATCTCTAATCCCTCTCTATCCCCCAGCATACCACCCTCTCCCCCAGGTCTCCCCAGCTGGGGGAAGGAAGCTCTCACCAGAGTCTCTGGAGGGGTGCTTCTGCCCATCCCCATTGGGTATCCAAGGCATCCTGGAACATGTTCCCCATCAGCCCTGACATGGCAAGGGAAGGCATTTCCTTTGTGCCCTCCTCCTGCCCTAATGCCCCCCTGGCTCCATACTTTGCTTTGCTGGGTAAAGAAGTAGTTGCTGTCAGCTTCTTGGTAGTAGAGAGGGATGGTCTGGGCATCGTTTTTTTGGGTTCCTTAACGAGAGCTGGGAGGAAAGAAAAGAGTGAAGTAATTTTTTTTGACTTATCCATCCACCTAACAGTCCCTGGCCCTGTGCTGCTGGGCTCTCACTATGTAGCCTAGGCTAATCTTGAACTCTTGGGCTCAAGTGAGGTCCTAGTTCTAAAGAAATTAAATAGCTAGGATGACTGCAGGTTATGTAGTGTAGGTTATAGTACCATGAGTATAGTTTTATTTATTTACTTTTGTCAGTCATGGGGATTGAACTCTGGGCATGAGAGCTGTTCCTCAGCTCTTCAGCCCAAGGCTAGTGCTCTACCACTTGAGCCACAGTGCCACTTCCAGTTTTCTGGTGGTTTATTGGAGGTAAGATTTTCACCACTTTTCCTTCCCTGGGCTGGGATCTCAGTCTCCCCAGTAGCTAGGATTACAAGCTTGAGCCACTGTCCCCCAGCTCACAAGTATACAGTTTTATTTATTTATTTTGTCAGTCATGGATCTTGAACTCTGGGCCTGAGGGCTGTCCATGAGCTCTTCCGCTCAAGGCTAGTGTATCTACCACTTGAGCCATAGCACCACTTCTGGCTGTTTCTCTTTATGTGGTGCTGAGGAATCGAACCGAGGGCCTCATGCATGGGAGGCAAGCACTCTACACCACAGTTTCCCAGCCCAGTATACAGTTTTAAGTGGGGGTGGTTAGAGAAGGCCACTATGAAGGGACATCGAGGGCATCAGATATGTGCCATTCACGTCCATAGACACACCAGCAGCCACTGTGGTATGTGCATACATGCTAACACACAAGATCACAAAGATAGCTACAAACACAATTCCACTGACAGTGAGCCATGGGGAGTGAGAGCAGGGAGTCTCAGCCAGACAGCAGACTCTACATTCCAGCTCCTTTCTGTGTACAGGTAACCTGTGTCCCACTGTCCTCAATGATGAAGCATAGATACTACAACTATGTAGGGTTGTTATGAGGCTGGAGCAAATGACTATTGGCAGGGAGTCACAGCTCAGTATGCCTTAACCAGGCCATATGGCTGATTAGGTATTCTGTAGGCCCTCCCACCAGACAGCATTTAGATCTTGCTTAGGACACAGCTTTCCCACATTTTCTCCACTTAAAAGAGAGTAGAAGTACACACAAAAAAAGGGGGGAACTGGGGCTGGGAAGGTGGCTCAGTGGTAGAGCAAGGCTTGCCTTGCATGCCTGAGGCCCTGGGTTCAATTCCTCAGCACCACATAAGCAAAAAGAAAAAAGCCGAAGTGGTGCTGTGGCTCAAGTGGTAGAGCACTAGCCTTGAGCTGAAGAGCTGAGGGACAGTACCCAGGCCCAGAGTTCAGGCCCCACGACCGGACCCCCCCAAAAAAAGCGGGGGGGGGGGGAACTTAGGCCAGAAAGGCCTATGTGAGAGGGTAGGTAAGTCAACTCTATGGCTCCTGAGTCTGAGGCCTCAGGCATGGAACAGAGTTCTCACAGATCATATCAGATCATGAGCTCAGAAAGAAAGATCATAGGACAGTTGCTAGAGGCTCATGATATAATCTTAGCTACTCAGGAGGCCAAGACCTGGATAGGAGTTAGAAACCAGTCTGGGCAGAACATAAGACATCTCCAATTAACCAGCAAAAGTCTGGGCTAGAGGCATAGCTCAAATAGGAGAGTACCACTTTTTTTTTTTTTTTTTTCTATTCCTGGGGCTTGAACTCAGGACCTGGACACTGCTCCTAAGCTTCTTTTGCTCAAGGCTAGCACTCTATCACTAAGCCACATTCCCAGCCTAGAGCACCACCTTTGAGCAAACAATCTGAACAAGCATGACAACACCTGAGTTCCAACCCCAGAACCAGGGGGGAAATAGATCATAAAATACTCAGGAAGACAGGCTACTGAGGCCTACCATATAGCATCCAGTATACCACAGACATAGCTATGTATAAAATATTTTAAACTAAGGATGTGGATGCAACAAAGCGCCCATCAGGAACAAATAGGCAGTTTTGGAAAACAAGTGAGAACTGATCTAGTGGAGATGAGAAGAGCATTCTGGGGGTTGGGAGGAAACCATGCAAGCCATTATTTACCTGTGTATGTTCAGCATATTTCTTGTATAGGTTAAACAGCAGACTAAATAGAGTCAAAAAGCTAGAGAGATTTAGTAAACCAAAAGTGCACTGAGGAGTGGGAACTTCAGAGCAATCTTCTGATCAAGTGATGGACAAGTCCTCTACCAGAAAGGCAACTAAAAAGCTGGATAAAAATGTCAAAATGACCACGTCATGCTCTAGGAAATTGTCCAAGGGAAAAGAAAATTCAAGAAGTGATGGTGTTCGTGCTGCTCCCATGCCTGCCTGCTGCCTGCTGCCTGCTGCTCGAGGATGTCTGCAGCAGGGAGGGGACTCTGTGTGGACCAGCAGCTCCACAGCCTTGGTTGAGGACAACCCACAGAGATAAATCATTGGTAACATGTATTTCCATAAAGGATTGGTATTTGAAGTGTATAAAGAACTATAAAATTATTCAGAACCAGGGAAATGGGAAATGAGTCCACAGT